GTCTACCAGGCATGTTTCTAATAGGGGGAGGTTCAATAGGGGGTGGCCTGAAGATGGCCATTGTTTCATACATGGCATAGGCTGGATAAAGGTTGAATAAGCCTTCAAGTAAGTGGACTTACGATACCAATGTACAATGTGGTGAATAGGTTCCATGTCCTTGAAATGCATGCTAGCAATTGCATGACAACAAGGGATACCCTTTAACTGCCAGGCTTTGCAACTACAGGTCATATTCACTAAGGATACCACATGCTTGTATTTAGGATCTTCAATCTCATAGCCTGTTTCACCATTCCATCTTGGAGTACACTTATAGACTTAGATAAATTATCCTGGTAAATCTTCATTGCTATTGGGGAGATATCACATATCCATGTCTCACAGAACTCTCTCATCTTACCTATCCTAATCATCAGCTTAATTCTGATTTCCTTTAACATTGTGATGATTATCTTGTGTCTTTCAGCCAAAATCCAGGAATTGAAAGTCTCACACATATTGTTGTCAATTACATCACACTTCCTATCACAATTGAAATAAGCTCTACACTAGGTTTCTTTTCTATAATGGAGTAAACTTTCACATATGCCATCCCCAAGCTTGTCTAACATATCAAGTTGGTCATTCAATTCTGCAATACTAGAAGCCCTTGCATATCTCCAGAAAGTATTTTTCCTCTCCAATCCTCTCTACTCTTTTGACCAATTTGCAAGGATGTGCCTAGCACACATCCTGTATTCACACTTAGGCAACAAGTCTCTTACGAAATTAATTAAACCCTATAGCATTCACTCAAACAGAACAATATTTACTTTCCAGAGAATAATAAAAATAGAACAAGTCTCTTTCAGAACAATAAAAATAGAACAACTGAACAATAGTTAATGAAGGAGAACATAAATTGAAGGAAAATAGTTACCTTCTGCATATCATACATCATTGTAAGGTCTCTTCCATCTTCTAAGACCAAATCTTCACTCAAACGTTTCAGAAACCAAGTCCAGTTGAATGTGTTCTCCACATCTACAACTGCCTATGCAATTGTAAACATCTGATTGTTTCCATCTTTGGAGACAACTACAAGAAGTTGTCCCTTGCAAACTCCTTTTAAAAACATCCATCAAGGCCAATAATTCTTCTACATCCTTCCAGCCAGCCCCTTTTCATGGCATGTAAACAAACATAGATTTTAGAGAATACCAGTTTTTCATCACCTTGATCTTCTGCTTTCACTACACATGTACTCCCAGGATTGGTCTGCAAATTCACATCTCTATAGTCATAGAGTCTTTTGAACTCTTGATGCACATCACCAATGATTTCTTTCAATATATTAGTTCTAGCCCTATGGGCAGTTGATCTCCATACATAGAGGTCCAGTTCTTGCTTTATCAATTTTCTCAACTCTCAAACCTTCATACCTGGTTGTGAAATAATTCTGCTCTTGTATTTTTTTGCAAGATATCTTGAATTACACAACTTGTTCTTGTTGGTTGTATAACACTTGTGCACTGGATTATATCTTTTCACCTTAAAATTATTGGAACTACCATCTTTACTAGCTGCTAGAAGCCATCCACATTTAGGTACCATACATTTAACCCTCACCCTATGTGGCTCACTTCTCAATCTGCACCCTTTTTTGAATTGCATATTTGGTGACTGCTTTCCTAAACTGATCAACACTTTCAAATATCAATCCTAACTCCCAAGTGATTTTCTTGGCAGTAGGATCAAAGATCAATCTCTTTTTTTTCTTTTTTTCCCTCCATTTTCTTCTTATGTTCTTCACCATCTTCACCTTCCATATCTGATGCAAAGCTTTCAGCATCTGAAGAACCAAAATATGGCTCATCAGTCCCAACTAGACCTTCATACCTATTTTGCTTACTACCTGTATGCAGCTCATCAAACCCAATGTCTACACCTGCTTTATCTATGTTTATATCACCCCTACCTTTAGGCTTTTCACTTCTTTTTCTCCTACTTCTCTTCACCTTCTCTCTAGCTTCACCCAACTCCTCATGGATATCAGATTGGAGGTCATTTTCATCAGGAACATTTAAGTGAACATCATCAGAACTATCAGAAGTCCAGTCTATGTCTACTTCTCCTTCATTCCCAGCATCATCAGAAGTAGAAGAGTTGTAAGCAGCATCATCAGAAGCATTTCCATCATCAGAAGCATTTCCATCAGAAGCAGCAGAACTGTCTCAAGTGTAGTGTATGTCATCACCATCTTCATCATCTACCTCTTCAATCTCTTGGACCTCCATAGGCCTTTTTCCAGAAGCCTTACTACAACTCACACTTTTCCCATTTTCAACAGGGTCATGTACTGATAAAGGGGCAGTATGAGTCACATATATTTCTAGTGTATCCCCATCCTCTAACTGATTGCAAATGTCTAAAATATCCTTATCAGTCAATACATTTATCAGCTTGTCAATCATATCCATCGGGCATATATACAGCTCAACCACGTTAGTTAGGCCCATCTCCCTAGTGTAATCCATAAGCTCAAAGAAGGAAATCCTATCTACATCCACGTCTAAAGTCAAGGTTTGACTGCCCCCCCACATATCTACTAAAAGGACCAATAATTAACTCACCCCCGTGATACCACTTTAAAGTAACAATTTTAAAAGACATTGTCCCTGAAAGAAGCAGACAACGAGTTTCAATTTCACATGCAAACAAAGAATAAAGAAATCAAAATGGACAATAAAGAAAGATATAACGGAATAAAGAAAGAAAAAGACAACACAAGCTCAAAAGACAAAGGTTTCAGCAGACAATGACAAGAGATTCCCCATAAAGATGTCTTAAACCCTAAAAATACTCCTGACGAAATACCCAAATAAACCCTAACTATTTCGACCCACCCATCTAAATCAAAATTGAACAACCTAAAATGAGAATACTAAACTGAAAATGAAGAAAGTAACAGCAATAAAGAGCAGATGTGTTCTTGTCGGATTCGCTTCAAAGGTTAGGGCTGAAGAACAGGGATTTGAAAATGGAATTATTTTTGTTAATCTGGTTGCGTAGTTGTTTTTAATTAACAGGGTCAGATCTTTTTTGGGTCGGAATTAAGAAAAGGGCCGGTTCGTCCATTTTAATTAAAGAATCGTTTGTTTTTTAATTTAAATAAGCGCGTGTATACACGGCATTGAATATTAACGGGGTTGGTCAAAAGTAGTGTGTAACTGAGACATATTTAAAAGGTTTGGTGTGTAAAGTTATACCCGTGGTCAACAGGTGTGTAACAGGAATTTGAGTGTAAGTTGGATGGGTAAACTATGTATTTCGCCTTTATACAAATTAAAGTGGCATACAAACATAATATTTATACATATATATTATAATTTCTTAACATATTAATATATGTAATTAACAGATTGATGGTAAAATATTAAATTATCAATAGAATATTAAAGTATATACTTCTAGCATCTTTACTGTCGATTTATAAACTCATTATAAGCAAGATTTTGTGAAAATTGTGGTCTTCCAATTGAAAGTAGAATCATAATTAAACACCTGAAAAGAATCATCACCTAAAAAGTTAAACTGATAAATGATATATAAATTTTTTTACCCAATTAGCAACGTCCCTTTGTTTTGCAATGATAAGCGGAAGACATTCGTAAGGCAAATTTAAAGTCTCTCTATATGTATGGAAAATTAGAGTTTAATATTAAAAAGGAAAATTGTATACGTACTTCGTATCTTTGCAATATATTCGACAGATCTAGAGGTTTTCAATTATTTACACATACTTTCCTTATAAATGTGTCTTTTTGGATGCAGTTACGATAATCTGGATCTAATAAAATTAGAATAGCCCGACCATTTATAAAGTTTCTTACACGAATATCTATGTAATTTAGCCTATTATAACATGTTAATTAGTTATGTACTATCATTTTATTATATTACCAATTAATGTATATCATAAAGATTTACTTATAATTAGCTTAAGTGATCTGATTATTTAAATACTTTTTACACGGTCATTCCATAGAGTTTTTGTATTTTGCTAAATATAACTTAACGTACATTGCAAATACTTATCTTTTGATGCATGATAACATGAAAGACGGTAAAACGACACAATTCATCCAAACATTGTATTCATCAAACGTTACAGTACAGTACAATATAACACGATATGATACATTATGAAACGATATAAAACAACCATCCAAACAAGCTGTTAGCTATTGTTTGGATCTCATTAAGGTATTCATGATTCACTTAGGTTATGTTTTATGGAAGAAAAAAAAATTATATCAACTATTAATAATAGATTATTTTTTATCCTTTAGTTATAATGACTTAAATTCGTTAATTTTTTCTTGGCATGTAAAATACAAATCCAATCCACTAAATCGTTTATAATTGTGATAAAAAATTTCATAAGTCAATATATACTTAGAAAAGTTGAACGAATTGACAAATCTATGATATATTGAGATATACTCATGTGATTTTTTTCCCGTCATACATCATAACTCTTCTCTAATCTAACAACAAATTTTACATTGAAACGAATTTTAAAATCTAATTTTATAAATTAAAAGAATAAAAAACTGACTCCTAAATATTTTCAATATAAAGCATAAACAACAAATTTAAACAATGATATGCTCCATTTAATTTTCAGAATTGTTAATAAAACAGTATCTTAAAATCGGAAAATATATGAGTTAAAAAATATTGACTTGTCAAAATGAAAGAACAAAAATATAAAAGTACTTTGGTGCATGATTAAAATTGATTTACAAAAAACTTATAATTATGTAGAGTGAACATACTTGGAACATGCTATGGTGGAACTGGGATTCCCTAAGCAATTCTTCACATGGGTCCTAGAGTGTGTGCAAACCAGTCAATTGCTATCTTGATCAATGGGGAATTAACCATCTGAACCTTTCACTGCTAAAAGCCTCATGCAAGGAGACCCTATGTCTCCTTTCCTCTTTGCTATTGCGATGGAATACTTGAGCAGGAGTCTGAGAGGACTGACAGAGATAGCAGATTTCCACTACCATCCTAAATGTTCAAAATTAGCAATCACACACTTGTGCTTTGCAGACAATCTCTTGCTCGTTGCTAGAGGTGACATCACCTCTATGATTACATTGCACCACTGCTTCACTCAATTCTCTGAAGCTTTAGGTTTAAAAGCTAATTTAGGGAAGAACTCAGTGTACTTTGGTGGAATAGCTAGAGCTGACAGAGAAAGAATTCAACATGAGCTTGGTTTTTCTAGTGGTGAACTACCATTTAAATACTTTGGGGCTTCATTGTCGACTAAGAAACTCTCCCTATTACAGTGGCAACCTCTTATTGAGAAGATAGTGGCAAAGATCTCATCCGGGACAGTCAAAAACCTGTCATATGCAGGAAGAACTCAATTTGTCCAAATTATGTTATTTGGTGTGCAAGCTTAATTACTAGACCCAATTGTTTGAGTTACCTGCTAAAGTGTTAGAAATTGTTGATGCATATTGCAGAAGTTACGTATGGTCAGGCATTAATACCATCACAAGAAAGCTCTAGTTGCATGGGATTAAAATATGTGCCCCAAAAAGTATTGTGGACTCAACCTCACTAACCTACACATTTGGAATAAAGCTGCTATAGCAAAAACTTGGTGGGGCACAAATAAGATAAACTATGGATCATGTGGATTCATACATATTATATCAAAGGCTAGCCAATGAACTCTGGTGCAATACCCAGACATGTTTGTTGGATTATGTTGGGAATAAACCCCCTATCAAAATGATATTCACGGTAATAAAAGCGGAATAATAATGTAGCACCGAGATACGGTAATTAACAAGAATAAAAGAGTAACAATGACACCAAGATTTTTACGTGAAAAACCCTTCTGAATAAGGGAAAAACCACGACCCGAGAGGAGCAACTAATATCACTATAGTAAGGAATTTACACTTTGTAGGCCCGAGTAAAATACTACAAAGACCACTACAATACTCAAAAGAAATAACACTCTTTTGATATTTCATCTCACTACAATATTGCTCCCACTCTCTATTTTCTTCACAGGCTATTTTCTTATACCCTGTCTGTGAAACCTCACTCTTTCTTTCTAGCTCTCAGATATATTTTCCNTTTGTATGAATCTTTTTGACCTATAAAGAATCGTTCTCCACCTGCTCACGAATCCAATGATATCTCACATCTATGTGTTTGGTCCTTGCATGGTACATAGAGTTCTTGCTAAGGTCTAATGCACTTTGACTGTCACAATAGACGACATACTCCTTCTGATGCAATATAAGCTCTTGAAGGAATCGTTTGAGCCATATCATCTCCTTGCTAGTTTCTGTAGCTGCAATGTACTCTGCTTCAGTTGTTGAAAGTGCAACACACTTCTCAACTTAGACTGCCATGATATAGCTCCCCCTGAAAATGTAAACAAATATCCAGTAGTGGATTTTCTATTGTCAATGTCACCTGCCATATCAGCATCTGTATAGCCTTCCAAGATTGGATCAGATCCTCGAAAGCACAAACAATCTCCTGTGGTACCACTCAGGTACCTAAGTATCCACTTGACTGCTTCCCAATGTTCCTTTCCAGGATTTTCAAGAAACCTGCTGACAACACCAACAGCGTGAGCAATATCAGGTCTAGTGCATACCATTGCATACATTAAGCTTCTGACTGCTGAAGAATAAGGAACTTTAGCCATGTTCCCTTTCTCCTCCACTGTTGTAGGACACATCTTCTTACTCAACTTTAGATGACCAGCAAGAGGTGTGCTGACTGGCTTAGCATTCTTCATGTTGAAGCGTTCTAGTACACGTTCAATGTACTTCTCCTGAGATAGCCACAACTTTCTACTTGTTCTCTCTCGAACTATCTTCATCCCTAGAATTTGTTGTGCTGGGCCCAAGTCCTTCATATCAAATGACTTGGACAGATCTCCTTTCAACTTTGCTATCAACCCCTTGTCTTTTCCTACAATTAACATGTCATCCACATACAACAACAATATAATAAAGTTATTCTCAGAAAATCTTTTGAAGTATACACATGGATCAGAATAGGTCTTTAGGTATGTTTGACTTTTCATGAATGAGTCAAACTTCATGTACCACTGCCTTGGTGCCTGCTTCAATCCATAAAGACTCTTATTCAATTTGCACACCATGTGTTTCTTTCCAGCTACTTCAAATCCTTCTGGCTGCTCCATATAAATCTCCTCTTCCAAATCTCCATGAAGAAATGCAGTTTTCACATCCAACTACCCCACTTCAAGATCTAGGCTAGCTGCTAAGCTCAAAATTGTTCGAATAGAAGTCATTTTGACAACAGGTGAGAAAATTTCGTCAAAATCAATACCTTTCTTTTGTTCGAAGCCTTTAACCACCAATCGAGCTTTGTATCTGACCAGCTTGCCCTTTCCATCTTTCTTGATTTTAAAGATCCATTTGCATTTGAGTGGTCTTTTACCCTTTGGAAGTTCAACCAGCTTGTATGTGCCATTTTTCTGTAGAGATTCCATCTCTTCTAGCGTAGCTTTCATCCACTGGTTCTTTTCTAGATGGGACAACACCTCTTTAAAACTTTCTGGCTCCCCCTCATCACTGATGAGGACATACTCTGTGGAAGGGTACCTGCATGACTCTACC